TATTATGGGATTCTCTCGTTAAAGTCTGACTTAAACGGAGATATCTCGCAGCCCGCGAAATCGGTTGTAGGGACCAACTTTGAAACGCACGCTCTACGTGGGCAAAAAGAAATTGCTTTTATGACTTTTGTCATTTCTGAAATAAAAAGAAATTTGGGAAGTTTTTATTAATTTTTTCTTGCGCACGTTGGGGGCCCCTGCGCAAAACTAATCAGAATTAATCAAGTAATTAGTGCGTTATTTTTGAGTATGAATACTTGAATTTATTTCCAACTAGCTTTTCTCCAGCGGCTTCAACCGCGTGGCCTTGTTTTATTTCTTCATTTAAATCTTCCTCTTGATTCAGATAATCTGTTGTTGGAAACCTCATTAAAAAAAATCCGTTGTGTAATTTTAAAAATCAGTTTTCGTATCTTACCTATCTACTGTACACGCCTAGAATTATGGAATATTTTTTACACACCAACTTGGAATAACTACTGACACAGGTTTGTGTTTACATATTCTAAATACATACACACATACAGCAATGGCAGAAAAACATGTTAAAAGTAGTTGGGTACGTATATATTATCTCTTCTTGAGCAGCTGAATGTTGAGTGACAACAGCCAGTACTTTATCGCTTTTTTCCGTATAATAGGGATACCTTATTTGTTACTCAGAACCGCCTTATGCCAGAGCGAGAGAGATAGTGTGTAGTTTATCGCGAGGACTCCGCGGCGTGCTATCGCACACCCGTTATATCTCTCACTCTAGTAAATAGTGGTTGTGAGCACCAAAAAAGGATAGAGCGACGGAAAAGGCGGTCTATTGGCAGTTTTCGCATGTTGATATTTAAAAAATGCTAAACCTTTTCTCTAAAGTAATATTATAAGTTTAGGGGGTAATTTATTTAACATTCCATACACAAGGTACTACCATACCAAGGTCCATACTACCAGTTAACAGGATGGGTGATGTGGAGATAAAAGGTGGTAGAATGCACAATTAAGGTGGAGATAAGCGAAATAAAACCAAAAAAAATACATAAAAATACTTAACAATACAAATAATATAAATTTATAAGTTCATAAATACATATACTTACATAATGTATAATTAATTTCAATACTAATCCGGTCATGAAAATCACCTACAGGAACCTACATCAAACGCGGTTGATACGGCTATAATTTACGCATGTGAAGTCGCGGGGAAACAGCTAGTTTATAATAAATAGATATCTAGGTAAACTATTATTAATTATATTTTTTCTATCTATTTGATTCCATCCATAGAGAGGGAATGTGTAAAATTATATCCTACTCCTAATAAAATACCCTCAGAACTTACTGAAACTATGTACTAATAACGTTTCCAAAGTAAACCGCCATTTGAAAGAAAAGGCGCGTTAAGGAATGCAATTTCTGAAAAGGGTCATCAGTAAGATATAACACAATTTCCGTACCCTTGATGTCTTTTTAAGTGCACACCCGCTTAACCCTTGCGCGGATCCACCATCATTCTGCAATGTTTTAAAAACCTCGTCTTCATGAAACACAAACTATAAACCTATGTGATATTACTTTGTGTAATATCTTTGAAGAATGTTTTTCAGTATTTGGAACTGAAACTATTTGATTTCCTTTGATACATACAATACTTATTACATGGGGAAAAAATCTACTGTCTTTGAAAAAATATTTTTACGAACCATAGCAAAAAAAGTATTTTAAATAATAACTTTTCTTGCCTTAAAAATAATTAAAAATTGTAACTTTTGTACCTGCGAAAATAGCTCTTAGATTCTTTTACGTCAATCACGTCAGGGATGATGAGAAATTTTTTATTGTGTGTTCGTCAGTATTGGAAAATATTAAACACATTTTATTTATTTTGATGACATCATCACGCCTTTGTGAATTTTCTACATAGTTGTGATGTAGTGAGCCCCCACTTCTCAACGTTCATGCCTATTATCTAACTCACATCTTGTCAAATTGAATCAAAAAATAATCCTATCGACTATTTTTCTACTATATGACTGACGGACTAACGCCGTGAGCACACCGACGCATTCGCTTGCGAAAATATTGCGAATGCGAAACATCTACGAAACATGCTCCATGCTGTTGTAACGACGTTTTTATCAGTTGCCTATGAAACCGTACTAACCACAACCTACATAGGGTAACTGACAAGGACGCAGCTATTACGTCGAACTAATAACAGAGCGAGCCAAAGCACATGCAAAACATTGTCATGCAACTTGCAACTGACGAGTTTTATTGTTGTTTCGCTTTCGCATGCGATTGCGTCGGATTACTAACTGCGTAAATACCTAGACTTTTTAACCCAATCTCATTCCTATTCTGCAAGCTTTATGTAAGCAATCATTACACGATGTTAATAAATTCGAAGATCCTTAGAGAATTAAACACTCTAAGCCATTTTGGAACCATTGATAGAAAATACTGCGATTTTAACACATTAGAGTTCGTCACACTATAATTAATAATTTCGATTTTAACACATAAGCGGTCGTTACACTATACTTAATGCAGTTAATATTACTTAATATATTTTAATGCGGTTTTCATCAATATACAGAATGATTCAATAGGAATATTTATATACTGGACCACTCGATCGACCCCGATGGCGAAAGGCTAGTAGATAGATTCATCAATAATAGAGATATCAATCAATAGAACTACAAATAGACAAGAACCTGTGCTTTCAAAAAATTTGATGTGCGAAAGGCCGTATGTTTGAATTTTGTAAACCATAAGATAGATGAATATTTCAAATTTACCTTACCACAATTTTTCTTTGGTTCGAAACCAACTATCGCCTACACTTGCTGCTAAAATAAAATAGCATTTCCACACTGAGCTATATTTATATAATTTTGTTAACTATATCCAGAGTTTTAAATATTCATTATAATCAAATTATTTAATTTTTTTTTTTTTTTGTTTATTTATTAACGGCTTTGGAAATATCCATACAGCCACATCTTTAGTACATTGTTCTTCATAAAGGAATTATTTAATTTAAGACCTTGAGAAACTTGCAGTTATATCTATGGTAACCATAAATTATGTGATGAAGCTTGATGACGCCTTACTAGGCGTACCTACTGCAACGAGACGTCGATTAGTTGCCTAATAGTAAAAGAGAATAAATTTTTTCAGTGCCCCTCGGTGCCCGGGGCAACTGCCCCCACTTGCCTTTAAACCATCAAAACTGAAAATCGTTTTCCTTTAAGTAATCGTCGGAATTATCGTTATTGGTTTTATGAATATCAATATATCAACTTTATTGCTTTCATGTGGATACATATCTCCATTCATTATAGCATTAGACAGAAGTTAAATAAGGTTCTTTTTATGGTATACTTTGTGATAAAATATAAATAATCATGTTACTCTTAAGACTGACGGCTGATTTGCTACATCTCCACTTAAATAGCAGCTGCTATACTTAACTGTTATCATTTATTAAACAAATTTAGCTATCTATTAAACAAATTTATGAGTATTTGACGAACTTAAATGATTTAATAACTATTGCAATAAAAAGTGTGCATTTTAAAGAACCCAAAGAAGCAGGGTTGGATAGTTTCGGCACTCATTTCACTATAACTCTACCAAATTTAAAACGTTTCCTCATCCCTTCAAACATTTCGGCAGAACAGTTTTTTAATTTTGTCAGACTATATTGTATTCATAATAGTTAAAATACGTAATCTGGGATTGTCATCCGTTGTGAATGCTACTGCCTTTCTAGTTGTTTTGCCGTTTTCCGTGATTAAGTTGTTATTGTTTTATTTTTATTTTGTTGTAGTATTGTATCTGTTGTTAAGTTTTGTTAAATATTGACGATGCCGGTGCAGGCCCGAGTGGCCTACAACAATTAAGCTTTAATCCCCCATACCTACCTTCAACCTTTGACATTTCAGGAAGTTTATCTAATGTCTTCATTTATAGTCTAACTAATGTCTGAATAAATGTTATAATAACAAATTCATTTTGTTTACCTTTCTTTCCTGGGCATAGATATAACTAAATTATATTCTAATTATATGCACTTACAATTAGAATTTATCAAAACAACAGATAGATAGATTTAGATAGATAGACACGATAGACATGTGGGCTTGAGAGTGAAAGATGAATTAAGAAAATGCTGGCCTCATCTCAACCCCGAGGTATCGTAAGAAATGGAAAATTGCCCAGCTCTTTCAGACAGACGTTCAAAGTTTCAACAAAACTATAATATATATTTTTTAAATTCATCTTTAAAATAAAATGTTCTGCGCTGCTGCGTCTATGACCCTCTTTTTTCTAATGTTATAATGAATGGAGTATAGATGATCAATTTAAAATAATGTTCCCATACATGAACCCTGAGTTACAAAGCAATGTCAGATATATAATTAAAATATAGTTAAGAAGTAATAAAATAATTCAGCCATAATATATAATGAGGAATTATTAAAAAAAAAATAGTTCACGAAATCAAACTAGATGTTGCTACGGTACTTTCTTAATTTCTACATGACAACTCTTTCAGTTTTCTTTTATGTATAAAAGTAAATTAACTTCAAAACTAATTAAACAACTCATATTCTATTTGTACTTTTTTCGATTCGAACTTTGCTCAGTTTTTTAATATGTTAGTTAAAAAGAACGGAAATGACTATATTCGGTCCATTCGTTTCCTGCAAAAATCAACTTTTGGTAGAGTCGCCATCTAGTGAGATACTTTTTAGTGCTATCTTTTTTTTTCTTTAAATATTTCCTCATTGCGATATAAAACGCATAAAATAAAATAGAGATTATAAGAAACTTAAATATTTCGGCTTATTCTGGTTTATTACATAGAGTCTACAAAATCTACGGTATAAATGAATCAATCTATGCTTTATTCTCAAGTTGCGATGTTACCACTATAGACAAAATGTTGCCAAAGCAATTAAACGAGTCAAGTTCAAGAATTCAAGCACGCACGCGTCGCTATTGACAGTTCATCGCGTCCTAACAGCTGTTTTTAGCTAGCGGCCTCACGAAATACGATTTATCAGTTGCTACACGTGCTTACTAATTAGAAGAAATCAATCCTACTGTTTTTTACTAAAGTGCCTAATATTTCAAATAGACAATGGATGAAGATAATGGAGTTAAAGGTACAAGCTACGTGTCGTTTATATATTAAAAGTATTACCCATGCTTTCAAGAGTATTTTAGCATTTTTTCTTATCTTGAATTTCATTGAAATATTTGCCATTTTAACTATAATGCCGATGTAACGATGTAGATGTCAATAAGAATAGCTATCGTAGTTATTATTAGAGATATGATTTCTACATTAAATGTAGATATTAAACTCGATACCTATCAATTTATATAATAATTTAAGAATTTTTATAAATGTTTTAATTTTCGTGACGGTTATTTTTAGGGCTAATCCCTGGCTTTCAAATTTCACATGTGCTTGCTATACAATGTAGATTATTATAAGTGCAAAATTCTGTTAGTGTTATTTCACAACCAAACTGTTGCTGACATTGATAAAATTGGATACAGGGATTATTTAAAGTTTAGAGGAAGCGATTAAATTTTTTTTTGTTAATACCAACAATAAAATTAAAGAAAAAAATTAAAATTACAGGAATTATATATAGTTTTGCAATCACCTTTCTTGTATTGCAGCTCCAGTAACACGGTTAAGGAGAAGGCTCTCTGTAGAACAACCAGATGATTCAAAATCACCAGGGCCAGCTACACCAACTAAAAAAAGAGGAAGGTTAGCAGCAAAGCCACAGTTGGAACTTATCAATGAAGATGGTAATATATTTATTTATTAAAATGGCACTACTGTGGAAAGGAAACCAAATAAGATAGAACCTCATAAGATTTATATAACAGTGAACTACAATCTTTTTTAATTAGGGCTTTATGTATATAATTTTTAAAGCATTTCTAACAGTAGATATGATAATACATTAATCTGTTTCATGTGAATGTGTGATTTGATAATATCTAATTTTATCTATTATAGTTAACATTGAAACTAAAAAAGTAACAAAAAAAGCAGCAACTAAAGACTTAGCAGAAGCTACAGAAGAAAAACCACTGACACCAGCAAGGCGTAGCACCAGAATCAAGTCTAACACAAGTATTGTATCTGAAACTGCACAAAACTATGGTTCTCCCAGAGCAAAAAGGGCTGCCAGAAGAACATCTCAAGTTGGTAAGTATAGATTAGTAATATGTGCTTTTATTTTATTAGAAAACATTTGTATGAATATTGTGGTATGTGTGTAAAATATTAATTATTTTATTGAGTTATAACACATTACTATATAAATTAAGCAATTAATTTTAAACTGTACTTAATTCACTTATTTAACCATATATTGCAAGTCATGAATTATGTAATTGTTACATTCCTACCTAAATTAAAACTTAATTAACTATGTTAGATTTAAAATTGATTTAATAATTTAATAACACTGAAAATGACAATATATTTTTTAACAATTTTCTCCATTATCTACCTTGCATTTCATATTATCATAATGAAATGTAATAAACAATTCTTTATTTTGATTCAGAGAATGTACCTTAAGTACTTAAAAGCAATATTAATAAGTTTAGTTTCTCAGTATTTTCTATTACCATTTTATTATCAGTTCTAGCAATAAATTTACTGCACAGGGATGCTATGTTGAATCTACAAGTTTGTTAAATACATCTTAATCTGATACAATTTTTAAGTTTAAAACTCCTATATAAAAATAAATGGATTTAAAGCTTTGAAGATTTTTAAATTAGTAATTTATTTCACATTATAAACAACTAGCTTTCCACCAGTGGCTTCGCCCTGTATTATACATTAATAACCTTCCTTTTAAATCACTCTGTATATTGATGAAAACTGCATTAAAATCAATTGTGTAATTTTAAAAGATCTCGAAGTACAGACAGCAAAAAGTGACTTTGTGTACAGATAATGTTATATAAACCTAGTATTATATTTACATGCTAAGAAGAAATGAACAACTTATTAGTATGGTTTACTTTACCTTTATATGTGATGTAGCATTCAAAATGTTTGATTTTCTCATTACAGGCAGTGATAATGAATCCACAAGTACACCCGTTAGACAAACTAGAAAAACTAGAAAAGATTCTGCATCCAGTATTGATAAAGTTGGTATGTTATATTCTAAAAATATGGCTATAAATTTATATTGTTATGGTTTTTAGTTTTTCATTCCAAAGGGCTAAAAACAAGACCACATTACTAAGACTGTCTGTTGGCTATCAGGCTATATCTCATGAGCCTGATAGCTAGATAATTGAAATTTTCACAGATAGTGTATTTTAGTTGTCACTACAACAACAAAATTAAAAACAATATTAGAGGGTGCTCCCATATAACAAACATTTTTTTTTTATCATTAATTATATAGAATCCTAGTACTGAGTCAGTATTTTTAATATTAAATATGTGTAACTACAATGACTGCAAATTTGTCAAACCTGCCTTGATATTTACATTTCTTTTAAGCTGTCAACAATTGTTTTATAATCACAATCTCAATTACCACATAAAATGAATTTAAAAATAATGAGGGACTTCAATAAAGTCATGTTAGGCCTTTGGTACCTTTAAATAATGTTATGGTTTGACAAATAACTTAAACTCATATTAAATTACTTAGGCTGAACTAATTTTATTCTACGTTTAGTTATTAGTTTTACACATATGTAAAGTCCAGCTTCTTATTGAATAAGTAAAACATGAAATATTTTATTTTAGAATCAACATTAACTTCAAATCCAAACTTTGATTCATGTATAATAACCGTCATAGTCGAAGAAACAGACCCCAAACCGCAAAATCAAAATGGTTCTGCAACAGAAAATGAAAAAAATGAAATTGTTCTAAGAAAAAGTCCACGTTTAAAGGAAAAGATACATGACAATGGAAAAGCAAAAAAAAATAATGACTCACAAGAAGAAATTCCTGATACTAGTAACAATACTTTAAATGAAACAACAAATAAAATTAAAAAAAACGCAGTGTCTGCTGAAAAAAATACTATAATTACCGAAAAAGAACCTACACAATTATTAAATACTAGTCTAAAAATCAATAAAGAAGTAGATGATAATTCAAAACAGAAACTTTCTGAAACTAATATAAGTACAACAATATTAGACGATCAGAATAGCTCTGAAAATAAAAAGCAAAAGGCTGATTCGCAATCTAAAATAAATGATAGTTTATCTTTTGATGACAGTAAAATAAGTAAACAAGCAGGTAATAAAAAAGATGTTACTATAAATACCGAAGAACAAGGACAATTATCAGATACTAGCCTAAATATCATAAAAACGTCAGGAGATAAATCAAAACACAGACTTTCTGATTCTCACATTATTTCGATGAAAAATCAGGGAAGTTCAAAAACAAAAAGGCAAAAGACAATATCTTTAACTTCTACTTTGCAATCTGAAATAAGTGATAGCGTTTGTGGTATGTGTGTAAAATATTAATTATTTTATTGAGTTATAACACATTACTATATAATTTAAGCAATTAATTTAAACTGTACTTAATTCACTTATTTAACCATGTATTGCAAGTCATGAATTATGTAATTGTTACATTCCTACCTAAATTAAAACTTAATTAACTATGTTAGATTTAAAATTGATTTAATAATTTAATAACACCGAAAATCGCAATATATTTATACTATTTTCTCCATTATCTATCTTGCATTTCAAATTATCATAATGAAATGTAATAAACAATTCTTTATTTTGATTCATAGAATGTACCTTAAGGACTTAAAAGCAATATTAATAAGTTAAGTTTCTCAGTATTTTCTATTACCATTTTACTATCAGTTCTAGCAATAAATTTACTGCACAGGAATGCTGTGTTGAATCTACAAGTTTGTTAAATACATTTTAATCTGATACAATTTTTAAGTTTAAAACTCCTATATAAAAATAAATGGATTTAAAGCTTTGAAGATTTTTAAATTAGTAATTTATTTCACATTATAAACAACTAGCTTTCCACCAGTGGCTTCGCCCTGTATTATACATTAATAACCTTCCTTTTAAATCACTCTGTATATTGATGAAAACTGCATTAAAATCAATTGTGTAATTTTAAAAGATCTCGAAGTACAGACAGCAAAAAGTGACTTTGTGTACAGATAATGTTATATAAACCTAGTATTATATTTACATGCTAAGAAGAAATGAACAACTTATTAGTATGGTTTACTTTACCTTTATATGTGATGTAGCATTCAAAATGTTTGATTTTCTCATTACAGGCAGTGATAATGAATCCACAAGTACACCAGTTAGACAAACTAGAAAAACTAGAAGAGATTCTGCATCCAGTATTGATAAACTTGGTATGTTATATTCTAAAAATATAGCTATAAATTTATATCGTTATGGTTTTTAGTTTTTCATTCCAAAGGGGTAAAAACAAGACCACATTACTAAGACTGTCTGTTGGCTATCAGGGTATATCTCATGAGCCTGATAGCTAGATAAATGAAATTTTCACAGATGGTGTATTTTAGTTGTCACTACAACAACAAAATTAAAAACAATATTAGAGAATGCTCCCATATAACAAACATTTTTTTATCATTAATTATATAGAATCCTAGTACTGAGTCAGTATTTTTTAATATTAAATATGTGTAACTTCAATGACTGCAAATTTGTCAAACCTGCCTTGATATTAACATTTCTTCTAAGCTGTCAACAATTGTTTTATAACCACAATCTCAATTACCACATGAAATAAATTTAAAAATAATGAGGGACTTTAATAAAGTCATGTTCGGCCTTTGGTACCTTTAAATAATGTTATGGTTTGACAAATAACTTAAACTCATATTAAATTACTTAGGCTGAACTTATTTTATTCTACATTTAGTTATTAGTTTTACACATATGTAAAGTCCAGCTTCTTATTGAATAAGTAAAACATGAAATATTTTATTTTAGAATCAACGTTAGCTTCAAATCCAAACTTTGATTCATGTATAATAACCGTCATAGTCGAAGAAACAGACCCCACACCGCAAAATCAAAATGGTTCTGCAACAGAAAATGAAAAAAATGAAATTGTTCTAAGAAAAAGTCCACGTTTAAAGGAAAAGATACATGACAAAGGAAAAGCAAAAAAAAATAATGACTCACAAGAAGAAATTGCTGATACTAGTAACAATACTTTAAATGAAACAACAAATAAAATTAAAAAAAACACAGTGTCTGCTGAAAACAATACTATAATTACCGAAAAAGAACCTACACAATTATTAAATACTAGTCTAAAAATCAGTAAAGAAGTAGATGATAATTCAAAACAGAAACTTTCTGAAACTAATATAAGTACAACAACATTAGACGATCAGAATAGCTCTGAAAATAAAAAGCAAAAGGCTGATTCGCAATCTAAAATAAATGATAGTTTATCTTTTGATGACAGTAAAATAAGTAAACAAGCAGGTAATAAAAAAGATGTTACTATAAATACTGAAGAACATGGACAATTATCAGATACTAGCCTAAATATCATAAAAACGTCAGGAGATAAATCAAAACACAGACATTCTGATTCTCACATTATTTTGATGAAAAATCAGGGAAGTTCCAAAACAAAAAGGCAAAAGACAATATCTTTAACTTCTACTTCACAATCTGAAATAAGTGATAGCGTTTTCTTTAGTGACAATGAAAAAAGTAAAAAAAGGGTTGTTAAAAAAGATGTCTTTAAGGATATGAGTTCTAATGAACGCGTTGTTGATAATGTACAGATCGATAACAATGATCTTTGTCCAACTAAACTAACAGACACTAAAACAGGTGGTCTTTTACATCAAATGGAATTGAATTCTTCTGCAAATAATGAAATTGAGGAGATATCAGAAACTAATGCTACACCAAAATCCAACAAGTCTCGCAATAAATCTTTTAAATCCCCATCTAATAAACTACTCGATATCGAGAGTTCCCTAGGAACTGCAGAGAATATGAAAGCAATGAGTGATCAAGATGAAACTAAATCAGACACAACATTTTTGGAAAAGCCATCACAAAGAATTATACAATCTGCTGATATATTGGAAGAATCCTATGTACATATCAAATCCAACGTAACCAATAAGCATTTAGATTCTGAAGATCAATGTGTTCCTGTTGTAGAAACAAGAGAAAGTGGTGAAAATTCTGAGCGTATTAATAGCATCATATTAAACAAGTCTAATAACATAATGAATGTGTCAAAAACAGATCTTCGAAATTCTTCCATCTTAAATAAGTCAAACAAACAGAATTCTATGAATGATAGTTGTGAACCCATGGATATTGATGTTACTATCCCAAATACTGAAACTTCACAATTTAATAAATCATCTGAAAATGTCAAGCCAGTAACATCATTTTATGAGGTAAATGCAAGTTTAATAAATAAAAGTAACGAAACATCAAAAAGTAAGTCATCGATATCTGCGCAAAATTTGGAAAAATCGGAAACTGAAAATAAAAGTACCCTTATAATTTCACAGATAAATGATGTATCTTCATCAGAAAATAATGTTTCCAAGTCACTTCAATTATACCAAGAGGTTTTATCAAAATCAACTAGTTCTGATATTAATAAGGAAAAAATAATGGACAAAAAAAGACTTTCACTTGAACAGTATTCTACAAGTACACCTCTTCAACAGAAGCATACAAAAAAATTAGAAATGCAGATAACTACTTATGAAAATGGGAGTAAGAAAACTGATAATAGTCGAGACTCATACAATAAAGATATATCTATTATATCGAAATCAAGGGAACTAAACTCTTCGAGTTCTTCAGAATCAGAAGAAAAGTCTTCAAAAACCAAAAGTCTACTGGAAGACGAGGCAGATGTCGCTAGCGATGATTATGAATCTGGTGACAGCCAAGATGAAGATGAAAGGCAGTATGAAGCGGAAAATGAAGTGTTGGAGAAAGGCGAAACCTTAGATTCTGAAGAAGAATTTTCGAATGATTCAGATTATGAAAAAGATTCTTTTGTTATTAGTTCTAACGAAGAAGACCAAGAATTACTGAGCGGCTCTGCTGATGATCTATCTATGAGTGACAATGAACTAACAATGAGTAAAAAGTCTAAGGAAAAGTATAATATGCGCAAAATAAAGGAACAAAAGAAAGCTTCCAAAGAAATGTTTGAAGCCCGTCATAAATTAGATAAAAGCGCAAACAAATCGGATCTAAAAAAATCTCTACAACGCTCACAAATATTAGAATCCTCCGAAGATGAAATAGAACATAAAAAGAAATATAAACATCGAAGATTAAATTCCAGTAATGAGGATGATCTAAATAATTCTAATACAAATAAATCCCTCAATAAAAGAACTAAGAAAAACAGATTATTGTCCGAATCTCAATCTGAATGCAATGAAAGTACAAGCAAAGAACAAGAAATAACAGTTTTTAATGATAGCGCTATAGATGATGATCCTTTATCAACAAAGATTAAACAAGAGCCTAAAACTCCATTAAAAGAATTAAATATATCAACAGTCCAGATTAACGATAATATTGAAGAAGTAGAAGTCGAAAACAATGTTTCATTTTCTAAAACAAACCAAACTTTTGATCCTTTGTGTAGCGTAATGGTAGACGAAAACTCCTCGTCTCTGAGTGAAAATCCAGATATTGTTAATAATTACGATTCCATACTTAACCAACTTAATAATGAATGTGTAAAATCTAAGAGTCTTAAATCCCATCATGTTTCAATTAATATGGACAAAGAATCTAAAAAAACTAAAGCATCAATTTTAGATGAACTGAATGTGACTCATACTAAAAAGTCTAAACGGAATAATAAGTCAAATTCTGTAGATATTATTGACGCACCACAAACAATCAAAGTGGCAAAGAAAGCAAAACAAAATAAAATATCAAACAATGTTGACAAAGATAGTTCATCAGACTCAATAGATTTAAAATTACTGTTTTCTGAAGAGAGCACTGATTTTGATAATGACAAAGGACAAACTATGCAGACTGGAAAGAGGAAAGACTCTGCTGATAATTTCATACCTCTCAAAAGAACACCAGGAAAAACAAACATCATAAATGAACAAGGTAAATAGTCTTTAATATTTTATCTTCTTTCTAATACTAATTACAAAAGTTGGCAATGAAATCATTAAATTATTGAAATTGCCGTATCTTCATATTTAGTTACATTTTATATAATATCTGTAGCATATACCTGACTGCATGTTGGGTTACCAAAATCTGTCAAATTTCTCTAATTAATTTTAAATTGTACCCTTAAAACATTAAAGTTTAAAATCAACAAGAGAAATTTGATAGTTTAACCTGACGCGCTGTTGACTGTACATACAAAAAGCGACACTTGCAATGTTCGGTCACACATTGTAACTTGATATACGATAATATTGAAGGTTTATTTTAAATTGACTGTTTTAGATGATGAACAGTCTTCAAACGATGAAATTCAATTTATAATAGATACAGAGGGCTCCAAACAAAAAACAGACGACTCCTGGAATGCGTTATTGACCGAAAGTGCGAAAAAGAAAAACAAGAAAACTAAATTGAGAGACATTTCACGAGAAAATTTAGTGACACATGGTAAGAGAGTAATAATTTAAAAGTCATTAGTTACAGTAAACATAAAACACGGTAAGTGAATATTATAAACATTAGAAATGAGAAACTCATTTTTCAGTACCTACTGTAGTCTAAATATTTTATGATTCGAAAAGTCTGACATCTTGATGAAAAATTTTATTCAATGTTTAACCACAACAGCCATTATTCACGTCACTGATTTCTATATGAATGAAAATGTGATTTTATTTGTCTAAATTAAATAAATGTTCAACTTTTTACATAAAAATATGCAGCAATGATGTATTATTGTATAAAATTACACTAATTACAAATTCACAAACTATTAATCAAATTCTTACTATGCTCACTACTTTGTGTATTATGTTTATAAAAAAATGTTTGCCACATATGCTATCTATATCCTTTGATCTTTGATCCCTCATCTATATCACATTGTCGGGCGCGTTGATTTCTTCCCATTTTCGAATCTATCTTTACGCTCAACCTTAAATTAACATATTGTTACGTCAGATGAAGGAGCTAATGACGAAGATGAAGATGTCCCATTAGAAGTTCCGATTGAAATCTCTAAAAATGAAAAAAGCAGAAAATCTATCAACACTGTAGACACAACAGAGAAACAAAAGCAAGACATAGGTGAGTAAAGATGCAAATAAATATATTTTCTTTTCAAAGTTATTAACGTTTTCATTTTTTCTATGTCATTTGTCATTTTGCGTGGATATCGGAATAATTATTCTAAAGAACCTTTTTCAAAGGGGTTTAAATATTTTAATGTAGAAGTTCGTTGTCCTAATGTTATTAATATTAACTGATTTCTTTAACTTGTCAATAAATAATTTCAGTTGAACATATGACCCGCGACACATCTCTGAATGAATTGGACAGCGCTAAGAAAAAAAAGAAGAAACAAATTCTGGAAATATCAGGTAATTTTTATTATATTGTTCAAAATTTTGACAGCTGCAAATTCGCTTTATATCCAATTCTTCTTCTAAATGCAATAGATCCCGTCGTTGACACACCTAGTAATAGAATAATAAAAAAACAATCAACAATCGGTTTCGAAAAAAAACGTAATAGATTTTATTTAAGTTTTAAATGAAGTGTTAACTGATAATTTTTCATGTGTACCAAATAACTACTCCCAATCATGTAACGGTGTGCCGTGCCACCGTTTATTTCGTCCTAGGTTTCCGCATGCAAAACTTTTTGTCTTTGATATTCAACATCATTTCTTTTATTATTCACTTTTCGTAATTTTAAATTTTGACTAATTTTAAATTTTGAGAGCATATTGGACAATATGCTCTTTATGAATTTCATTTCGTAAAAACATCGAACCCGTCACAATCATATACAAAAGAGTCATATCTGTCTATTATATATCACAAAACATCAAAAAACTAGTGGTGTTATTTAGTAACTTTTTTAAAATATTCAACATAATACCTACACGTAATAAGTATACAGGTACATACTAAGTTTCATTTTCCCTTCCCCATTTTAATTAATAAAAATATATATAATATATATACAGTAAGTTAAGCTGTTCGTTTATTTAAGTGTATGTTGTGTATTGTTTGAAATAGATTTTTTCTAATAAAAATATTTTTCTCTTTGTTTTAACTTAAATTACTTTTTTTCTCATTTCAGAGCTACCTACGGATGTCGTGTCCAATACGAAAAAAAGAAAAAGGAAGTCATCTGCAAATAATGATATCGCAAATGATTTCGAAAAAGGTAAAATGTTAGGATTTTTCTTGGCAACTAATCAAAGTCTTAGTAAAAGTTGCTAGTATTGATAATATATAGTAAGAAATATTTTCCCTTTTGACCAATTTTCAACTTAATATCGTGGGATCATTTGATTTCATTGAAAAATTGTAGTGGTAACTCTAAAAATTAAATACGAACTACTACTCGTACCAAATAATATGACTCCTGAAGCTCTATTTTCGAAATGCTAATTTGACTCCAAAGAAACACATTTTCGATTATTCATACACAAGGTAGGACCAGACACTGTCTGTGATTCACGGGTAATATTTACGGGTGTGATTTTAACAAAATTATTCGAATTTTCAAGGACAAAATAGGCCCTCAGGGTCATGTTAAAACGTACGAGTTATAAATGTAATAAATCTTGAAGCTCCTCGTAAATCGCAGCATTAGCATATACTAGTAAACAAACCGGGACGATACGCTAGTAATCAATAATACATTTATGAAAATGAAAACTTATCAAATACCCTATTTGACAAGTTTTCATTTTTCGGTAGTAAAAACATGTCAAAGAAATTGCACCAAAATTTAAATTTACATTGTAATATACATAGAGATTTTTTGCTATTTTGGTTTAAATACAGTGCATTGTCCTATGGTGTAGGAACTTTTTATCTTTTGGAAATGAATGATTCTTCTCATCCAAATATGCAGCACTGATGTATTTTTGATTAACACTCGTCTCAATTATAAATTCAAAAAATATTAAATTTTATAATTATTCTTAGTCTTTGAATGACGTTTCATAAAAAATGTTTATTATTTGTGCTAGAGCTGCATTCTGGCGCCAGACGGTAATACTGCCAAATTTGGGTCCAACTTCGGACAGAAATTGAATTTAATCAGACATATTATAATTTCATGAAAATAATCTCTTTATATACACTGTTTCCTATATTTTTATGGTTACTCTAGAGGTTGAAGAATTATCGGTTGATGTGCAAACGTTGAACGCTTCTCTATCTGCTGGCAGACAGAAGAAGAAGAGAAAAATATCCCAACATGACCTGAGTAACCAAAGCAAAGGTACTTACTAAACAAATCACGTTCGGCGTCCTTCATAGTTCATATAATGTTATAAGGAGAATTAACACTTCAATTTAGATCAATAAATACCATCATTACGACCAATGAGAGGCTAAAAACATTTGTAAGAACTATGCTTTGTGGCGTTAGTAACGACCTCAAAACTACAGTGGGAAATATAATATCACCCTACTAAACTTAACATATAGTATACTACCTAAAAATATTATGGTATCCACGATCGTACTTTTCCTCTGTTCACATATAATAGAACAGAGAATTTTTCGCATAGTCACTATATGGTAGTCCTCTTTTTTTTAATAAGACTTGAAATGTCATTGCAAGCTATACTTAATAAAGGACCTAGAAAGGACCAAGAAGTGAGCCCTGTTGAACATCATCCTCATTTCAATTGTCGAACCTAATCTCTGGCCATTGTTCTCACTTATTACACACACTCAAATATGAGAAGAGACACCTATTTCTATAATAGAAAAGTTTCTTAAACAAATAGCCTTAGACCACAAAAAAACGCCGTGTCTGAATTATTCCATCCAACCCAGGGGCAATGCAAGCATCCGCATCAATGATACAGGGCCCTTGGATTAATAAACAAAATGTTTTAACCTCCATTTGATACATGGTCCATCCAAGGCTCATCTTTAACATTTCTTCGTATTTTACTGCACGATCAAAATGCGCGTTCAGATTCGAACTTCTACACATTCAATTGTTAATAAAAACCTAAAAAATATTAGGCCTATACGAGGGTCAAACTGAAAGTTCTTAGAAAATCAAAAACTGATTACATTAGCCAGTTATTAGTTTTATTATATCTTTTCAAAATATTGTCCATTCACGTCAATACACCGCTGCATGCGATGGAACCACTGGGAAAAGCACTTTGCCCACTCGTCCTTAGGGGTCTCTTCAATGGCATCGCGATACGCAGCCACCGCTTCTTCAGCATTCATTAACCGCTTTCCTTTAAGTTTTTCTTTAATTTTTGGAAATAAATAAAAATCACAAGGCGCGAGGTCGGGGCTATACGGCGGGTGACCCAGTAATTCAACGTTTGATGTCGCCAAATAGTCGATCGTTCGCTTGGCGGTGTGCGACGAGGCGTTGTCGTGGTGAAGGAGGATCCTACTGCGAGGTCGTTTCTCTCGAACTTTTTCCAAGACAAGTGGCAAACAATTGGGAGTGTACCATTCTGCAGAAACTGTTTTTTGATCCTCTAACACAATTGTTGCAAAATGACCTATCCTTCCAAAGAACGAGGCCACCATTTTTTTTCCCGCACTTCGATCTCTCTTCACTTTAGTTGGCAACTCCTCGAAAGGAAACACCCACTGAGCAGATTGTCTTTTGGTTTTAGGATCATAACAGTAAATCCAGCTTTCGTCACCTGTTAGTATGTCGAACACAGCATTTGAGTCACCTCCGTTAAATCTTTCAATCATTTTACGACACCAATCCACACGATGGAGTTTTTGAGCCTCAGTCAAATTATGAGGTATCCACCGGGCGCAAAGCTTCCTGACCGCTAAATGTTCGTGGAGGATTTTGTGCACTTGACTCATACCGATGCCTAAGCTTGTCCGAATCTGTTGATAGGTCACTCTTTTGTCAGTCTCTATCATACGCCGCACAACACAGATGTTATCTTCAGTCGTCGCCGTAGAAGGCCGTCCCTCACGTAAATCATCAGTGAGATTAGTGCGACCACGTTTAAACTCATTAAACCAGTTGTAAACAGTCGCACGAGATGGGGCTTCATCGTGAAAGGCCAATCGTAGTCTATCATAACTTTCTTGTTGACTTAAATGACATCGAAAGTCATAAAAAATCATTGCACGAAAATTTTCTCGTGTTAAATTCATGATGACGTGACACAGACAATTTTCAATTTGCCGCCAAATCGTAAAACAAATGACAAATGAATGAAATATATACTCAGTAATATTGGCAAAGAGTTATATTTTCAAATTTTAGAATTATTTTTTTATTATATTGTTTATAAGTGGCCAGTTCTAAGAACTTTCAGTTTGACCCTCGTATTATGTCATACGTATCATAAAGAATTCTAAGCTCGTTATGTATTGCGCCTATTCTCCTTTGTAATAATATAGAACAACTTGAACAGAATGGACAGCAATTTACATCAGTTTCAATTTATAGGAGAAAAGTGTACATTCTAATTTGAACGTAATTTCAGGCAAGGAGGACACAAATAAAGCTATAAAAACTGATGATATTAATGAACTAGGAAGTTTGGAAAAAACAATTGGACTAGGTAAGATCGTTAATTAAACAACATACTTCATGAGTTAGTGTGTAATTTAATATCTTTATACTGACTTTTTACACTTTTCAGAAGGATCACAATCTAAGAAAATTAAAAAGAGAAAACGAGAAGATGATGTTGAAATTAGTAAAGCAGCAAAGGTATCTATAAAAACCGACAACAGCTATTATCAACCAGACGTCTTCATAAATATTTACTTCTATAAGCTTCTGACAATAATAATATTTTATTTAAGTAAAAAACAGTAACTATGTATCGACGCTGGAAAGCAAACAAGCAGTAACACAGAACAGAAGAACTATTTTAATCTTTAAAAATAATTCTTTCAAACGTCCAAGATAATAAATAGGTGTTCCAAAGTCAATTTATATGGAAATAAAATGTTAAAGAATATATATAAAAATTATCTACTCTAAATATCCATTATGATTTTGCAGGTTACTACGTGTTCGCTTTCCAGTCAATATGTTTGTTTGTAAAAACTTTCATTTTTATTAAGCACGCACTGTAAAAGGAGCTTATCTCAAAGTTAAAAAAGTTTGACTTGTGTGTATGCTGGCGCCGTAAACTTTTTTATTAACCAAGCACAACAAAATTAGAGAATTTAAAATATGCATTACATTCTTCGATCGACGATTATTTTATTTTACTGAAAAACCTAACATTCTCGAAAAGGTTTACGTTATTAGAGCGCCTCTCAAAATGTCCCTGCCTACTTCAAATAAAGCTCTTGCGCCGCCACAGTGTACAACATCGATATAACTTTATAAATGAAAATTGGGACTGAGACTCGAGATAACAGAACATTTAAAGAAGGGAATTACTGCAAATAATTATATGGCTGCGTTTCTTTTTTTTCCAGAAATTAAAAGAACATCCATTTGATAAGGTCAATGTCTCAAGACTTCCTACTTCAATACTTAGCCAACTAGAAGATAAGCCGAAAAAATCTGTTTTGGACACGAAAAAATCTCAAGTGATATCTACTACACCATTCAATGTAGAAGAAACCAAGAGACGTAAAAATAAACCATCAATATTTTTAGAAGAAAGTGTATATTTAAATGAGTCACATGTCGAAAAGAAGAAGAAAATGTTACTTAAGAAACCTCAAGTTCTTCCCTTTGTACCTACTGCTGCTACTTCGGAATACGGTTTTACTACACAGTTCAAAATCAATGTCATACCCCAAGAAGTACAGTTCGTGGCCCAAAATTCAAATGTGAATAATTATAAAAATGACTATATCTATGGTAAAAAAATCAAACGTTTGGGCACTTACGAAATGTTAAAAAAACATAGAACAGCTAAAATATCAAAATTCTAACTGTTTATTTTATTGCTTATTGGCTTAAGTTATCATACTGTCTCATGTTGTTGTAATTTTTATTTGATAACTTTAATAATCGATTGCTAATTTTAATTGTTACAATTTATTTTGACCAGTTGCTATTTTAAGTACATACGTAATAAGGAAATTGTTGTTTATCATACAATGTCTGCACTCTCATAAGATTTTAAATCAGTTGAGGTATACCGAATACTCAAAAGCATTTAATTTCATTTAGCTATTTTTCAACTTGGTATAATATCGTAATTAAATGTTACGAGATTTGCTACTGTTACCTTTATTCATGACTTGCAAATCGAAACTTATTGAATTATCGACGTGATTGCTCGTTCGAGTAAACCAATGTGTGAATACTCAAATTCAGTAAATAAATAAAAGATACCCTGATTTTTCTAGATCTTGCATTTTTTACAAATTCTTGATAATTTTGATCATTCTAATTTTGTGTCACTCACAATATCTCGCTAAAGTAGATTTCAGTGTATTCAAATATCTCACATCAAGATATGATAACGATTTGCGTTATATGACATTAATAATATTGTGAAACTTGATTGTTATTATTATATTTATGTAATATTAAAATGATTATGTATTTTAATAAGTTTGTGCAATTTACATTTCCCGCCAACTGGCAATAGTTGCCAACATATCCCGCTAGCTGTCACTGGTGTAGAAAAAATGGTATTACCCTTGTGCCGTCTAATTTGCTTTGTTTGTAATTTATTATGGATACATTCCACTTTTTATTTCAATGAAAACATTCTCTGATGCTAAAATATTATTTTTAAAATAGCACACTGTGTAAAATGTGTACACACTCGGCAAAAGTACTTCCCGCCTTATCATGCCGGTGTAAACAAACCGCCATGTTGTCGACAGTGCTATAATGTATTTATGAATGGTGAGTATCAAGATAACCTTAATATGAATGTACAACTATCAATATTTAATTTTAAAAAATCTACGATTTTTTAATAAATAACTGTAACCTTATAACGTATCTAAAATAACATGAAACCGATTAAATGGTCAACAGACTGACTGATGACGTGAATCCTTAGAAAGAAAGCAGCCAATAGGCGCGAATCGTAGTAAGTCACGTGGGTTATATCAACCAATAGAATTTCTGACATTCTTTGTGTACCTTTTCGCATAATAGTAAAACAGATTGTGGGTTTTTATAGAGTGAGTGGTGTTTTATCTGTCAATCTAATGACGTTAAAAGCGTAAATGTGTGAAATTGAGGAATTTTCTATTGAGCATAAGGATATTTATACCCATAAATATTCGGTAAGTACAATATTACTTCATATAGTCAACTCTCTGTGCCAATGTTGTGAAAACAAGACATGCAGACTATGGGAAAGTCCAACGAGTTGCTGTGTCCCGCTCTTTTTAATGTCATTATGTTTTTATTGATAAAATTTATTGTTTTTATTATATTATGGCACCTAAATAATTGCAATCTTAACGTGATTATACTGTAACTCTTTTGTCTTAATCCAGAGCTAATTAACAAAATTAATGGCGGGAAATGATTTCCAATACTATTGGACTATCAAACATGTGCCCGTAAAAGAATATTTAAGTTCAATGAATAACGTCTTTCTTTTATTCTCGAATTTAATTCATTGACTAAAAACACACATACATAATATAGAATTGTATCTACCTAAATTAAAATATATTAATTTTAGGCACATAGGTAATAAGTAACGGTCACGATTTATTACATTTAACATCATAGTGCTGTCCCTTTCCCTCTCGTTATTTTTTTTTTCACGGAAAGATAGAAAGATTGTAGCAGTAACATAAACAAAAGCAGTATTTTATTTCTAAACCCTGGAGTATTGTATACAATGTTATCCTTCAAATTTTATTTTGTTAAGTTCTCACACATACTATTTTGGTATGTTAAAAAATCTAAATGCCGATCTTACAAAGTAACTATATTTTTATGTGCAGTCAAGCTAAATATGTTAGGTACTAAAAACTAAACTTTAATATAAATCTATGTGTGTGTTTGTGTGCAGCAGTACTGATAAATGAAAATGGCGCCAATTCGCCGTCAATGAACTTACAAATCGAAGTTAGCGGGCGAGTTTATCAAAGAATAAAATTGCATAACGCTAACAGAGAAATATGATATATATAGGTATCTATAAACAAAGGAATTAACTAGATTTTTAGCTATACAAAAATATCTCAAATTATTGATCCGTGTCAGTATAGTTTACGATAAAGTAACTGGTTTTCAAAATAAGTAGCATGAGTAAATAACTTGCAAACGATTACTTCTAGCGGGAATCTAATTTCATAAAATCCGGGCGAAGGCTTTACAAACTCACTACGTCAAGTATTTTTTAATATTTAGGTTGTAGACATTTTTAATTGTAAATAAACTTGTCAAAAATTTAAAAATACCTAAGTAAATAAGTACGGCTGCACGTCGTCGAGTTACCACAAGTAAAGTTTCCGCAATGGATTTGAAGAGAAAATAAAAAAGTAGTTAGGTATGTGGTATGCTTTTCTTTATTTTTTATTAGCAACGAAAATCGATCTATTAATATCGCATTATACCTTCCGGCAGCATTTTCTTCGATCGCGGCAGAATTTACGAATTTACTGTATGCACCCTAAAAATTTTAACAACTCGAATGACAAATTACTGATTAAATTACCAAGTATTTCTACCAATGTATTTTGGCTATCGGAACATGTTTCTTAAAAATTTGAATCGTCTGAAATCTATGAAATCCTTTAGTTAATAGAATTAATGTCTGCTAGCCTTTACCCACGTGGTCCAGACATTCCAAGTTGTTGACAATTTATTTGTTTATTTGTATCGAATTTCATCACAATCGGTCCAGAGTATAAATGCGTTACAGATAAAAACAGTTTGTGTTTGTAATTATTATTATTACCTACCTAAAAATTAGAAAAATACAGGTAGCACAACATACATTTATCTGTCAAAATAAAAAATCACCATTCGAAGAATTATTCATCCATGGTTATCATTGTGCATGACTATCAAAGATAAAATAGAAATAAAGAATTGTCATTCCCACGGTCAGTCTCTTTCGAGTGAGAAGTTATAAGCGACACAATGAATGCACCATAGTATTATGTTCACAGTGTGCGTTATGTATGCAGTTCTGCGTTGTTTGTGTGTGTGGCAGTCTGGTGTGGCGCAATAGTGCAGCTGCACTGCTACCTGTCATTTAGCGGGTTGTACGCTGCGCTGCATTTGACGTTGTGGTCGCAGTGCAGGCATGTAGCTATATTATTAATGCATCGGATAGACGATTGTCTTATACACGAATACATGTACTTGTGGTGTTCGTCATCCACCAATCGCATTATAATTTTGATTGAGAGGTGATGTCATCTACCATTTAAAAATAAAGATTTAAACTACTAACTGACCATATTTATTAATCTAATACAGTTTTAAACGTTTGTAACTTTGTATGTACAATCGAGAATTTGACGCCTTATACCACCTGTAATGGACCATTTACACGAAGCCAATATCAGTCCAGTCCAGTAAAATTAGAAACCGTTCTATTTCATTGGACTTAAGGATTACCTTCATTTACACGAGGCCGATCCTGTACTGGCTTACTGTATTGTGTCGGCAATGGCCCCTTGGAAATAGTCCATAAGCGATTATCGTTATCACTCGATTCACATAGTTGATAAATGCCGCTTCTCACTGCACTTCAACTGTCTAAATCAATTTGAGTTCAAAGCTCAGTTACTGAATTGGAATGGACGATGTTTCTGACATACTACAACACAACCTCCTGAGCCCGAAACCTTCTAGCTCCAAGTTTTTTCTGTATTGACCAAACTATGAATCAAAACAGGTGGTTATTAAAGTTTTATCAAAAGACAAGTAAAATTGTTATAGGTGCCTACTCAATTAAATACAAAGACACTCGGACTCGTTTTTGTCTTTAAAAACATTACCTGTGAAATCGTTTCATCAAGGTTGGTTATTGACACTGAATACGCTTAAAAATAAGATCCATAGGTACCTAATATTATAAACGCGATAGCGATTCTGTTTGTATATAACGATTTCACAGCAGAACCGCTGGACCAATTGTGAAGAAACGTTTAAATATTTAGCGATCTGGCGAGTATGTTAGCTCTATCATTTTTAAGAAAATGTAGCACTTGTCTTTTCCAATATCCCAAAGCATGAAAGACTTGCGCATTTTAAGTTATATAAAATTAAGTTACAGTTTAATAATTATATGTATAAAAACAATCTTTCGTAGGTGACTTATTATCAGTCATATCCCATTTCCTTATCGCAGCATTCATATCTACCGCACTTTTTGTCGAGTTTAAGAGAGGATAAACAATTTTCATTTAGGAGGTGACTGACCTCCAAAATGAATGAGTACCAACTGTTTTCACACTATCAAGATAGGCGGATATTAGTCTTAAGTGTACACAGTATATTTGTGCCTTAGCAAACGAAAAATAAACTGTCAGAAACCTGTTGAGTATATTAAAATATCTCAATAAAATTTGATAAATGAATGTTATCTATAGTAAGTAGTTTTTGATAGTTGGAAATTTAAGAAATGTATTTTTAATGAGTCCTCACGCAAATAGTGCAAATGGGTATACCTATATTACTAAAAGTTGCTATTTGTAATTCGGCCATCTTCTAATGATATACAAACAAAGTTGCACAGCGTTAGCGCGCGCTTTTTTTAATTTCATGGTGCCGTTAGAGAATTTTCATTCCAGCATTGGGTAGGTAGGTGATTTATGAATTAATTTGGTGAGGTAAAATTTTACGTTAATCATAAAAAAAATAGTAAGCCCTCAATAATAAAGTTAAAACTTGAATACTTTTCCTGGGTCATGAAATTAAAATACACAAACGAGGTTTCTTCTAAATACATAGCAACTTACTAGTACAATATTTCAGTTTTGCTCCTAAGGTTTACCGGGAAATTGAAGTCGAGGGGAGAGAGTCGTAATCAATACCGAACCCCACCCCTGTGTAGTATTTGTCGCGACGAAGTTGCGCGCGCAGATAGGAAAACACGACCGGTCTCGCGCCTTTTCGCGCCTAAGAACTTTACAACTTTCCATGTTTGGCTAATGTGGGTAATAAGTTATCTTATTAGAAATAGTGAGCAATTGTTTCTTTATTTTGCGTCATTTTGATAATAATTCATTGTTCAGCGATTGACAACACTATTAAACGCTTGACAAGCATTTAGTTTATTCATATTAAATAACTGAGAAAAAACTGTAATTGAGGTATGCAAATGGTTAGTGCCATAAACACTAACCATTCCACGTTGGTAAATAGGTATTTCAATCCTGTGTGCTGTTCTAGTAGACAGCTAAAAAATACTGACCACTGTCCTTAAAAATTAAGCACTCATTTTTTCCTCGGCGTCGATTTTTCACGTTCACACGAACGCGGACGTCGAGAATCGGCGCAAGAGCCGACCGTACGGGTTCAAGGCGAACGCGCGCGGTCAGGTTCGAGGACACGGCGCGCCGCATGGCAAGCAAGCCCCTTGCGGCGCCTCCGCCACCGCCTCATCATGAGTATCCTTCTACTGAAAAATTATCCCTCCCTATATTTGTATATTATAACCTTACACTATATACGTACTATGTATTTAATTCTATAATTAATTATGTAGGGTTTTCTTTTATTGAACAGAATCGTATGAGTAAGTAACGTCTATTATTTTCTTATCTTTTCTCATCGCACGTACCTATTTCGGTCATTGTTCATATTGCACGAGTAAGTAGGTACTTAACTAAAGCCAGATGAACTCTGAATATAATAAAGATAGAGTTCACGGTCTTAAATAACACGATGAGACTGCCGTGACGGATGAAATAGTTTATACATATGAAATTACTTGATAAAAAGGGACATGGTTAAATATATTCATAAATATTTCATATCAATTCGTTAAAATACTGTTTTTGAATATTGAAGCTTATCCAAAAAAGGTCCATGTGGTTGAGGACGAAACATCATTAGGGGTGCGATTCACCCTCTTTCAATCCCTTCCGACGGTCTCTTTTCCTCACCCCTGTTTTATCTCTTTCATGCTCGCGGGAAAAATGATACGGACGGCCACTAAATATTATATAGCATTTTATTTAAGGACTAAATTATGTCCGTAGTCCGATAAATACAATATATTTTGGCGTAAAAAGTATTAAACGTTCAACCTAAACTATTGCTGATAATTAATTTTGGTTATAGGTTGATTATTTTTTGTAGCTTATTATTTTTAAACTGCCGCATTATCAAAACTTACGTTTTCACTGTCAATCTTTATTGATAATCAAAATAATGGCACACAATTAAATTACTTCTCAAATAAAATACTTTATATATGACAAATACAGGGCTATTTCTATTAGTGCATTTAATTGAGTTGCTTACTGATTTAACTATAAGTAATAGTTCATTTAGCTTAATTGCTTAATGCATTGTGTAATTGTTGTTATAATTAAACAGAACAAGTCCCATATCTAATTAATAGACATTACGAAACGAAACATTTATAAGGAATATTCTTAAGACGCTCAAGGGGCCGTTCCATTCTTGGGTTGCATTTTTTTGTACCCAATGCTAGTCAACGATCCCGACGAGCCCTCACGACGCACGACCAACTAACAACAGGTTGGTATAGGTCTTCAAAAAAAAAGGGGCATTCAAAAAACACAGTCCCGGCAATTTAAAAAAAAAAACTAAGCTAATACAGTCGAAAATATTGTTCACACGTTTATGAAAATTAACAAATGACTCGAAATAATAAACTTTGTATAATATAAAATTTTATACTGAAAAATAATATAAAAAAAATTTGAGGTATAAAAATAACTTGTTTACAATATACTTATATTTGTTATTAAATAGTATCTGGTAAAATAGTATGTGATATAAAAATAATATTCGTAGCGTTTTACTTAAAGTAAAACGCTCAATTTCCCTTTGCCATTGTGATAGCGCAGCGCACCACAAGCGCATACCATAATTTGAAAACTGGTTTTTGTACTACTACGTAGTGGTTCCATTGTTGCACTGTCTCGTTCTAACGTTACATACTTTGAAATCTGGCGCCAAAATGACTACTTTCGGTACTCCATAGGATCGTTTTGAACTATATGTTTTTATTTTTACTCATGATTACATTTATTAATGATCAACTTTTTCTTTTATTGCAGTTGTGCTCAGACATGGATCTGTATATCACGGACTCTCTCCAGGATATGCTGGATATGGACATAAAAAATGAAATAGCAACAGATCTAAGCAGTATCACAGATTTTTCCGTGAGTTTTATCAAAGGCGTTATTTTACATATTTCTTTGATGAAAATATCAATTGTGACTTTTATTTCTTACTATGTTATAGGATTCGTTGGGATTGAATTTTGCTGAAATGCCTCCTTTATTAGATGTAGATGCCGACGCATCTCCCACATGGCTGAACACCACGTCCAGTTTTGTGCACAATCTAGATCTATATGGCTCCGAAGCAAATGCTGTTATGGTAAATCCTAATTCAGTTATGCCTTCAACATTTGCGGAAACACCCGTTAAAAGTGTTGTTAAAGAAGAGGCGTCAAACTTATTATTAACATCAGCTGCAAACAACGATTTAAACACGAGCACATCGTTACCTAGTCCAAAGGAAGAAAAGAGTCACTTAACTTTTTCACCAAACGCAATCAAAGTATCAAAAGTACAAGAAAATGAAACCGAAACCGTGCCCAAAAAAAATTTAGAAGAAGCTACTCAAATGGTGATCTATGTTCGCAAACAGGAAAAGAATGTCGTTAAAGATTTATTAAGAGATTTAGATAAATCGAAAATAGTAAACACGACAACACCCACGGTGCGAATAAAAGCACAACCAGAAGTTCTAAAAGTAAATAGTAAAAATTGTTCTGTTTTAAATACTAACCAAAAAGTAACGCAACATATAGGAACGAAGACTATTATTTCTGGTAATATACATATTTTAGACGCCCAACAATCTAGGACAATTCTAGCAAATGGTAATAAGAATCAAGCTACAATACTAATTGATAACTCGTCATTAAATAGCAGTAGACAATTATTAAAAACCAGTAATACGTTTACTGTTGATACAAGTCAAAATAAATTCATAAATGCTAATAAAAATACAACTGGGAATGGAGAATTTCCCAAGCCTGCATATTCGTATTCCTGCCTAATAGCAATGGCACTTAAAAATTCAAGAACAGGTAGCTTGCCTGTATCTGAAATTTATAATTTCATGTGGTATGTATAACAGATATGTACTCATTTTTTTCTTTAATATTCAAATATAAGTATTTTAATTATATCATTATCTCTTATTTCAGCCAACATTTTCCGTATTTTAAAACAGCACCAAATGGTTGGAAGAATTCAGTACGACATAATCTTAGTTTAAATAAATGTTTTGAGAAAATTGAAAAGCCATCTACGAATGGAAGTCAAAGAAAAGGTATTAAAGAGTTTAAGAAGGAATATTTATTTCGCTATCATCGTTAAATGTTTATTAATATTTATTCTTATCTATTCAGGTTGTTTATGGGCAATGAATCCATCGAAAGTGGGAAAGATGGATGAAGAAGTACAAAAATGGTCTAGGAAAGATCCTCAGGCAATAAAGAAAGCAATGGTTTATCCAGGTAATTAATAAAAAGAGGCTTTCTATAATTATTATATTTGATCAATTTTGCATTCACAATTCTATACTGTATTTTGCATTCTCTGAGATGGGAACCTGGATGGCAAAGGTTGTGGGTTTGAGTCTCATCTTAGAGTAGCAGGCATAAAGGATTTTTTAAGCAATTTTCATTAAGATATTCTATAAATTATTTTTGTTTAAAAAAAAATATCCTCTTAGTTATTTATTAATAATCCTTTATTGGCTACTGGAAGAACTAAATGTATCAACGTCGTCAATATGAAGTGAAAGCTTTTCGGCATAGCCCACATCGTGATTGTCTTTGATATTTCTGTCATGGATTAATATTTAAAAAAAAACACTTAGCAGCTATGGTCGTGTGAGGTTTCTATGAACTTAATCACATTAGGGATCCAGGGCATGCGATAATCGCCTAATCGTGATAAAAAGGTCCACAACTTTTTCAATTTGAGTGTTGATATAAATACTATTTTATTGCCCTTAATTTCGTTACAAAAGATTTTATTTTCTTTCCTTATAGAGAGTTTAGAAGCTCTTGAACGTGGTGAAATGAAATATAGTGGAGCCAGTGCGGAGGCCGATGTGGATGACGATGCTGACGCGGACGCTGAAGCAGAACTCGACGCTGATGTAGAAATAGACCCGGAGATCAAAGAGGAGGTAGAAGAAGAGGAAACCATTATAGAGCAGGTAATATTTTTTGTCATATAAACGAAACTGCGCACTTTCTATATAGCTCTATATATAGTATTTTAAATTTTGAATTTGATTATGACATCAGATAATGTGCAGTGCGATATATATAACACGGACGTTGATTGATCCTTACAAGAACAAATTACCTACATATTACAAATTATCTGAATAAAAGTATTTACAAATCAGTCCATTCAGTCAATATGAAATAATTTTTCTTGAATAGATATTTCCCTTTTGACACTGGCGTGGGACACTATTATTTCCCTTTGTATATTTTGTTTTTATGTATTTTGTTCTGTACATGTGTTAAATAAATGAATTTGAATTTCAATTCGACATATAGTAGACTAACACACAAGTGTTCTAAGTCTAAAATGTCGTACGGGAGTGACCAAAACAAAGAGTCCTCAGTCATATATTAAGAGATCTACAAATAAGTCGAGCTATTAATGAGGAAGTATTTAAAAAAAACGAAAGCACTAAAAAAGCACCTCCATTAGATGGCGACTCTAGCAAAAAATGTTTTTCCAGTAAACGAATGGACCAAAGCCAGTTATTTCCGTTCTTTTTAACTAACATATAAAAATAAAAAAAAATTGAATAGTTCGAAACTTAGATATCAATACAAATACGAAGATGTACAAATAGAATAGGACTTGTTTATTGAGTTTTGAAAACTAATTTACCTTTAAAGAACGCCGGAAGGGTTGTCATGGAGAAATCAAGAATGTACCGTAGCGACATCTACTTTGATTTCGGGAACTAATGTTTTTTTTTTTTAAATACTTCCTCCTTAGATACTGTAGACCCGCTAGAGGTGTAATGAACTCGTTCGTTATAGGAGGTGTCAGATCAAGAGTTGGAGGTGGAGGAGGTGGTGGAGGGTACGGGTATGGTGGGCGGGACTTACCGTCTGTTGGCAGCCGGACACTCCGCACTCGCTTCTTACATCACCGAGGCTGACTCCAACGACGATCTCAGCGACGTCGAGGTGAGTTCTTTATCAGTACACAATTTATATAATTGTACTAGCTGTTATCTCGCGACATCGTCCGCGTAAATTATAGCTTATGTCATCCATGTATGATGTTGCTTCCTATAAGGGAAAGAATTTTTAAAAATAGGTCCTGTAGTTTTGGAGTCTATATTCGATACAAACAATCGATCTTTTCTCTTTATAATACACTAGCTTTCCGCCAGCGACTTGGCCCGCGCGATCCCTAGAACTGTTGAGTGGGATAAATATCTATAAGATTATTTACTCCTATGTAAACAGCTTAAATATATTTTTTAATTGATTTATGTCGATCCCATATGATAGCTTCCCGTCCCGTAGGTGAAAGATTTATTAAAATCGGACCAGCAAACAAACAATCAAATCTTTCCCCTTTATAGTATATAGTATAGATAGCTTAATTCAGGTGTCGCCAACCTGCGACTATTGTTCTCGAGTTTCCTTACGATTGAGTTACATTGATTGAGAAGTAAATATTCAAAATTGTTTGTTATGAATAAATTCTTAAATATATATTGAACTAGCTTTTGCCCGCGACCTCGTCCGCGTGGTAAAGTTACTTTGAGCAGCATTTCTAACGAATATTTATTCATTATATCGTATAAAATACCTGAAAAAAAAGTCTTATCCTCTTAGCTTATGCCCTTAGGGGTGGAATTTATAAAAATCCTTTCTTAGGGGATGCTAACGTCATAGTAGCTTTATGCATGCAAAGTCTCAGCCCTAAAAATTAACAAAGTTTCATACAAACTTTCATCCCCTATTTTATCCCCTTGGGGGTGGAATCAATCAAAATACTTTTTTTTAGAGAAAATATACATAACTCAAGTCACCTTTGAGTTATGTATATTTAGATTATTTTCCCGTGGGAATGCGTCATTTTCCCGCGGTAAAAAGTAGCCTATGTCCTTTCTTGGGTATTAAAATATCTCCATACCAAATTTCATGCAAATTGGTTCAGTGGTTTAGGCGTAATTAAGTAACAGACAGACAGAGTTACTTTCGCATTTATAATATTAAGTATATTGAATAATAATTAAAAGTAAAGTAAAAAGTAAAAGTAAAAATGTATTTATATACATAATTTTAAATGAAACATAACTTAATGAATCCAAGGGCTCCCGAGTTAGCTGAAAACTGTGTTTCAGGAGCACTTGTCTTCTCCAACTTATATTAACAAATCTTATGCCTGAAGAAAAGAAAAAAAAAGAGTCTACCAAAAATAAATAATAAAAAAATAAAATTAACAAATATATGAGTGCTACTACAAATATTTAAACTGCAAATGGAGATATAAAACTATTTTAAGTTATGCTTAGTAATTTGACAAACGAAACCAAAGCCATGAAAACAAAAATTATAAAAAAATAACATTGTAGGAAATAGAAATACACAGTAAAGTTAACGAACTATTAACAAATTCATATTATAACTAAATTGAGCTGCAAACTCATAATTTCAACATGTATCCAACATCGTCTCCAAATCATCGTACATGTAATTAAATTCCTTTAACTATTCTATTAGTATACTTATAATTTCTCTGTTGCTTTTGTCTTGACGATTATAGATGTGATTTATTTTATTGTAGAGATGGGGAGCAAGAACGTTGTAGTGTTATATTATATTAATCTTTCAGTGGCTCTTTATAATTTTTGCTTTAGGCTCTTCTGTCTCATAAGGTTTCCTACCCCTGGTTTAATCACATTAATAAAACTTATTTAAAAAGTCTTTTCATTTTATTTGAATATGTATTAAAGAAACTGCGGTATAGGTATAGGTTTTCTTCTTTATTTGTATAATAGGTAAAAACAAGAAGTGAATGTGAATATATTTTTTTTTTTATTGTTACAGGTGCTAGACAACTCCTATGAAGAAATTGATATTGGCATTACGAAACCTGTGAAGCTAGACTTATCTTTAACAGAGGATTACTCTAGTGAGTATTTTAAAGATACTTAAATGACAGTACTATAGCTTCTTATCAAAGTTACGTTGCAGTCAACTCGTACCACGTATTATATACTTAACTCGGACATTTTCTATTCAATGGTTCATTATCGTGTCAGGTCACTCCGTAACTTCCAGACATCTTTCCAAAGATTTAATAATATAATTTATTGACTACGGATATTAGTCAATAAATCAGTCAGTGGCACTGATCCTATCTCCTGCAGAGACCCCAAATTCTAAACATATATTTGTGTTATTAACTTTTTTAATTATTTTAACTGTGTTGTATTTGAATAAATACGAAGGTATTTATCTTATACAAATATTTTCTAATCAACGAGTTGTACAATCGAGGAACTTGGCGCTATTCCACTTTATACAGACATTTCTTGACCACTCATCCTCTCCTCTTGTGCTGTGAAAAGTATTCTTACAAACTCTCAGGATATAGCGCAAATATTAATCTCTAAATACAAAAAGTTCCAAATTCTTAACACGTTTATGTAAATTTGTCTTAGAATTATCAAGGATCTCTTTTAAATATATATTTTTGAGTGTTATTCCTACCTGTATTATCATATATATTCCCTATAGCATGGTCGCCGAACAGAAATTGTATCTAGCCAACTTTGACATAGTATAGTGATCGTAAATGTTTATGATATCTACCAATAAGCACAAGGGTCAACGTACGAAAGTCTTCCTGTTCGGAGTCGGTGCTATAATATACGTGGTTGTCTGTAACAGTATCTATTTATCTATCTATGCAATAAATTGTGATCATAAATCATCACTGTGGTTTATGTTTCGAAAGCGCCTTTGAAACTGATACCAATGAATCTCGAAACAATAAGGTTTAATGAAAACTACTTATTACTTACAGTTCAGTCAGCTAAGCGAGCAAAGTCGAACTTCGTTTATCAACCTATCGCGACACAATCGCACACGAGCAGACGGAAAACGCCATTGGTCAATAGAGTTGCACTTATGTAAGACTATGTAGTTTTTCAATTATTGTGATGTTCCGAAGGGGGTCTATGATGATTAGTTTAATAGTTTTCAGTGAATGTTCCATTAAATTCTAGATAAAATCGTCGATTCGTATTTTTAGTATTTGTGAATTTAGTAAACGTTCGTAAGAACGTAATAGTCTGTACCAGATAATTGTATTTACTTTTTTACCGAATTGGGACACTTGTTACATATCTTACACTGTATATTATTTCAATAATAACCAAAATTCCTAATAATTTAGGCTGGCTTACGTTTTGACATCTCAATGTTCCATTTATTTTTACTTTATGTAACATGTAATTATATTTATATTTTCTATATTATTATAATTGTCGTAATATATATTGAACCCTATTGTGGTTCGTATCTGACCATATTATCAGTACAAAGACTGGTTATTGCTTCTGTATGGACAGCTTTTAATGGTGTCTTTGATAAAACGATAAGTAGGAATACTTAATATCCTCATTGTAATAATAATAATGTAAATGAATTATGTATTCTTACGTCGTGTATCTTGTGATGTAATGTCCAAAAGCCTCAATACAGTGGCAAGCTAAAGCGGGTATGTGTTTAATAAAATCCCACCGCTGTTTAAATATACATAATATTTATATATTAATATTATAGAAACTACGTGTTAAATGTGCTGCTCATTCTTTTTTTTTTAAGAGAATGAATAGTTTATTTAACTAATTAATGTGTTCGTCATTATGCATATTCGATTGAGAAGAATTGATACATAAACTTTTGTTGTGTAGGTTGGATAAGGACTTCATTAGCTCTACCAAAATAAAAAATGAAACACCTATATATAATAAGCGAAGTTGAAAACTTAATGGTTTGTTTCCAGTGGCATAGCTAAGAGAAGAGTGTAGTAGTTTTCAAATTTCACATGGTGATGATGATCATAAAAAAATATCCTGTATCAAATTGAAGCAGTCTTATCCACAAAATATAGAAAAGGTTGATTACACTGCCAATCAGTTTTACATATTTTTGCTAGCTACGCCACTGTTTGCATCATTTAAGTTTTGGCTGTCAGTATGCTGTATTTTGTTTGGTATCTACGGATATGTACTTATGTTTATTATTTTGCTTGTATTATCTTCTGAACAATTGTATTTTGTGAACCTTATTGATTTATTTAATATAAATGGGTAACAAAATAATTATCATTAATAATTAGGCAATGATATTAGTAAAAAATGCAAATAATGTTAAAATAACCTACAGCATACTATGAATACGTTATATCCTGAGAGTTCTAACTAAACTTATTAAATTTAATTCGTTACAAATAGCCCTACACTTTATTTGAATATTTAAAATATTGACAACCAAAGAAATTATATTTCAGTTTAGAAAATAAATGTATGTATCATGAAGAATACGTATGTATGGTTTATACTTATATACCTACATCATACAAATTTCCACAATAATAATAAAATTATAGTTGAGCATCGTGGCGCTCTACCACGTTGCACGTAAAATCCTTAACCGCTTCTCTATTCCCGTCGCACATAGAAATGTATTCCTAATGCGAAATGTGCGCAAATATTGAAAAGGTGGCAGAGCACCAAATTCCTCGAATTTGTGGTTAGCTAGCTAAGTTAAGGCTGGTTGTGTGTAGTAGATCTCGAATGTTGGTTTATATATGAATAGATGTTTGAATAAAAGTCAAAAATATTAAAATTAAGTATTAGTTATTATGTTAGATTGTGTGAATCTAAGTATTTTAGATGCGTCCGTTTTTAAATTAATTGTGATTTTGTGTTCTTTATTCTCTTGGTATTGAAGCTTGGACGTGATTTCAACCCTCGAACTAGAACAATGGGATTTATTATTAATAAATATAATGATTCCAATTACAAACTGAGTAAAAAAAAAATTAAGTATAAATAAAATTAATTAAAAACTATTAAAAATCAATTAGATTAGATGAATCTGTGATATGAGATTTACTATTGATGGAAACCTACCATAATTACATTACATAGCGTGAAATCAATCATGAGAGACAAAATAAATCATAGACTAGAACAAATATAATGTTCTAAAATTTAATGGCTACGTAATTTGTAATTCTTTCCGACCGATTCGTCATGTAAGGTAATTTCTCTTTATACTAGTAATTTTGTCATGTAGAATTTATAAAAGCATTCAATGACCATAGTCTAGAAGTGTATAAAATAATTGAATATTGTATTTAGAATAAAAATGATTTACGTACTACGAGTAGTATGATAAATACAGATAGGCAATCAAGACATGAATTAGATTCATAGTGTTGAAAATTATACTAAAACACGCAAAAAGTAACAATAGTACCTTTCGATCCGGTTTATTAATCAATAGATATACAGAATATTTTTGTAACTTTTTCAATGTAATTTAAATGTGAACAAAGTACCTATTCAATTGATACCATAACGTTAGAATTTACATAATTTATTATGCTGGAAGTTACTATTTACATTAATAGCTATATGGTAGGTGCTTTTTGTATACCTTTGATACAGCAGTGCAATTGTGTACATAAAAAAAATCAATGTTATTTTCTATAGCAAAATAAACTTCTTGGGTAAACTATAGTTTCTTACTGAACTGTAAATTAAATTTAAACTACTTTGTCTAGTTGAATAAAAAAAGGAACCATAAGATAGACAACACAAAACAATTCGAATTGTGCTCAATAGATATTTTTAGGTGTGGAAACAATGGTAAATCTTTTGTATCATGTATTATTACAATGAATTGATATACTATATATATAGGTAGTGAATAATTGTTAACAGTTTTTGTATGGATAACCAATGAATTTTGAAATTATTGTTTAGGAATATGACATATGCATTGTAGATGCTTCCAATGTTTGAATATACTATGAATAGTAGTGAGCCGTATATGGCCATATTATACTAAGATAGAGACGATCAGTTGTCACAAGCAGAATGGTAGCAGTAACTCTTGTATGTAAATGCGTTAGTTATTGTAAGTTTCCACTGCCAGTATTACAACATCCGTGTAAATTACAAAATAAGCGTAAGTTGAAATTAGTTAAGCTTTTTAATTTAGATTATTATGTGCTAAGGGAACTAAGTTGAATGATTTTTAATAACATTTTTGTAATAAAAATTAATGAATAATGCGCGTCTTTTTTTTTTTCTTAAAAACAGTTAAGCTCAAAAACACAGAAAGTAACACAAAGCTATTCAACCTCCTTTGCAGAAATTTAGTTTCACTTCAATAATCAAAAATACGCATCTATACTAATATAAGGAAGAAGGCTTTGATTGTTTGTTTACATCGAATGGTATTCGAAACTACTTGTCCTCGAAATTTGTCCTTACTTTTCAATTAGGCACATAGTAACTGCAGCACTTACAATGTTGGCAAAATTTAACGATACATTATTGAGATTAGTTCGAAGAAATACAAACTCAAGCCAATGTTGAAACTTAATTTAATTTAAACCATAAATTACAAAAGAAACTGTTTATTTCTTTAAAATCAACGCGTTGGATCGATTTTTACCTAAATATAATGTCTCCTAAAATACGGTTTCAATAACCATAATCTCCAGTGAGTATTTTTCAATGTGTTTTTAAAGAAATAAAAAGTATCAAAATCGCAACAACATCTGCATTCTTCCCACATTTGAATATTTAATGCAAAATAAATGATACACCTAGATGTGTAATTAAAACATTTAAATAGAAAAATATTTAATTATAGCTTAAAATAGATAATGAACCTAAACTATCCGGCTGATCCGAAAATCAGGAACAGCCTTAAAATTTACATACTAAATTTTTATATCTTTAAATATGTAAAATAATTAAAATAGAACACATTTTCACAGAAAATTGTCAGTAAGCATACCGTTTTAATTTAGTCATCGAAATGGCCTGGGACATTCATTTACTAATTATATTATAATTACCTATGCATACTTTAATTTACAACAAATTTTGATATGGAAAAAAAAGTTTAGAGAAATAGATCTTTTGAATGAATCCAACAAAATGGTGCTTGTAATCATCACCAGCCCTTTTACGTCCCCACTGCAGGGGCTCAGGCCTTCCTTATTCCTGATGGTTAAGGAGGATGGGAGAATGGCTTGTAATAAAAATATATGATTACAAAACTCTTCAAAAATAGGGAGCGAATGCAGGAAGGTCAGTTTTGAGTAATACTCGATCTTAAAAGTAAATGTCTTCATTATTTATTAAGCACAGACCCAACATATAAAAATTTATTATAGGTTCAACCTGCGACCTAATGATACCTTTTTTTACATTGGCATTTCCTGTCCTATCATTGATATTGTAGTGAGGGATATAACGTCGACTTTATCGACTACATTGATATTTTTAAAGGAATATTTTATTTTTAATAATAATAAATAAACTTGTTTTACTATGCTAGTATTATAAAAAGGTTAAGGGATTTTGTTTGCGGACTGGGCTATTATGAAAACATGAAGCATTTTTTTAATTTGCAGATATTTAAAAATTTCATTTCTTAAAAATACGGAACCGATTTTGATGAAGCTTGCACTATTCTCTCAGTTGATAAAAACAATATTTATTCTAACAGAAAATGTGATCCGGTTTTACATGGACAAACACATGCTTAAAAGTATTGCCGGAGCTCGTTTAAACTCATATAATTTTACATTGTAATATATCTATGTGGAATGTATCACTGAAACCACACAAAATTACTATTGGCTAAATAAATTTTTCATCGACATAAAATCAGTGTCTATTAATTTAAAAACGTATGAGAATATCAGTGGACATTGTGATTGTGGAGAAATATACCAAGCATTGTCGTCGGATGATATACGGCTATTGGATTTTAATGTTCATGACCTTCTGGGCTACCGTTCTAACACCTTTGATGAGTTATATATCCTCATCGGCGTTCCGTGAAAGTGTAAATACGGCACGGAGCCTTTTCCACATATAATCATCTGCTGGATGCCTTTCGATAAGAATCATTCCCCGGGCTGCTGCATAACAGTAATATATCATACACTTCTTGTTAACCTTTTAACCTTTAAAATACTTTAACCTAACGAACTGTAGGTACTCACTGCAACCTAAAAGATCTATTCTGACTCGCCGCCAGAACTATAGTAGCTCTTTCATCCTGATAACCTCCAAAAAGTCTAGATATTCCTGGCTATTGATATTCAAAGTTTTCATATATTCAGTGCTGATTGTCTATCGTCCCAGATGTATACTTCGTTTGTGGATTAGTGGTGCACATTAAGAATAAGTGAATCTAATACATATTAAAGCTAGAGAAATAGGTAGGTACCGTCCGTAAAAAAGTTATTTTTATTTTCACCTTGAGGAGTTCATTTATTTTCAGATATTCAAGACTTTTCAACTCAATACAATCATCTGTTATGTTCTTTTACGTTGTCGTGTGTTCATCGATGCTGTGTGTCATTGCCTATCAACTAACAGTAAGAAATACATATAAAACGCACTTAATTCGTTTATAAATTTAATCTAAAATTTATGGTAATCAAATTTTCTTCTAGTCAGCGACAACCCTAATTCAGAAACTATTGCAGTTGGAATATTAATTTTTTCTCATCGCGGAACTTTTTGTATTTTGTTGGCATAGTAACGATGTTATGATAAAAGTAAGATTGTTTTTTTTTATATATCAGAGTTTTATATTTGACTGGTATTAATCAGACAGTCTAATCTTGTCTTAATCTATTTTTTAGAGTCAGGAACTGGTGCTTGGTCCATATGAAAGTCAATGGACCAGAATAAGTACGAAACAAAGGAAGAGTATCGTTTTGCTGACTGGTCAACTTCAAATAAACCAAATTTATTCTGCTGGGCCGTTCATCGATCTAACAGTTGCCACATTCATCAACGTATGTATTGCAGTGTTACTTGTTATATCTCATTTACATTAATCTATAAATCAATGAATAGTAACCACAGAAGTCACCGCATTCCGCATTCGGGTCCTATCGATCAATATAAAATTTATAAATTTTCCGCTCATAGGCTATTCAATTTTTGCCGGCCCTACTGACCTCTAAACTTCAATACGCTAGTTTAGTTCACTATCATATGGATTACATTTATTCTATTGATGCAATTGCAACTTTATGATTTGAGCCCTATAGTCTTTATTTTTACAACCCACGATTTAGTGAAAAGTACATACGATTGAACAAAAAACAGCAGTATGTATAAGGTGGGGTAAGGTATGCCTTAAAAATACGTACACGTTGCTATAATATAGTATCAATTTCACGTTCCAAAATGCTTACTGGAAAATATTCTTAAAAATCCACTTTGTCCTGGTATTATAAGACGGTACTATAAGATAAACAATAACAGAGAAAGACTTAAAGTATATTCAGGTTTCAATTTCAACTCGATATCTAGGTGTTTTGGGAACTTCCAAATTCTTCCTTGATCTAATTAATGTACAGTTCAGACGTGTGAGATGTTTAAGTGGTAGAACGCCAAATCGTATTATATTTGAATAAATTTGATTGGCAGATTTGCCGCGCTTCGAAATTTCACCTTCTGCGAGGGAACTTTATTAGTTGTATCTTACTGTATACTATTGAAATTAAGTACCTATTATTAAACGAATTAACAAAAATTAATATAGATGTGTATATTTTTCTTTTTGCAGATATTAAAGGGGGCTTATAGCTACTAAAATGAACCCTTAATTCGAGATGTCCCTCCCTGCGCTGCGAAGATGAATAGATACGATTATAAAACTATTAAACAACAATAAAAAAATAAAATATATTTATAATTATAATACTAATTCAATCAATAAAGCGAAAAGAACAAAAACTACTTTATCTATATGTCGTGGGCAAATCGTTTAATTGAGCCGATCGAGATCTGCCCGAGCATATCACAATGTGCCGCCATTTCTTAATTTTTACACATTAAATCCATTAAGTCTATTCTATCACAAGATGTGAGGTTGTGAGTATACCTTCCTATATATATCATAATCAAGCAATTAACATTCTTTTCGTTTGCTGCATTTCGAAGTGGTTCCTTTTAACTAACATAATAAAAAACTGAAATTTGCAAAGTTCGAAACTTAGATATGAATACAAATACAAAGATGAATAGATTGAGAAATTTGTCAAATTGTACAAACGAAAAAGTACGAATAGAATATGAATTGTTTATTGAGTTTTGAAAATGAATTTAGTTTATAAATGAAAGAAAACCGGAAGGATTGTCATGGAGAAATCAAGAAAGTACCGTAGCGACATCAAGTTTAATTTTGGTAACTAATTTTTTTTAAATACTTCCACACGGAGGTCCAAAATATCTATATACCAAACTTTGCAAAATCTCTATTATGATTACCAATGTCCAATGCCTCACGTGAGAGAATATTCTCAGTTGGCGGTCGCGGCGTAGTGGGTAAGCGCCGCGGCCCGCGAACTTTGTACAGCAACTTTCGGAAGGTTTATTCACAGGATGGGTGACCAAAACATTTTTACCTCGAGCTTCTCCGTGCTTAAGTTAAGCTGTTGGTCCCGGCTGCATCTGCAGTCGTTAATACCCACTAATCCGCATTGGCCAATCAATTAACCATCCTTAACGATTCTTAAGGAAGGTCTGAGCCCCTGCAGTGGGCACGTAACAAGGCTGATGATGATGAACTTAAATCAAAAAGAGGAACAGGTTCTTGAACAAATTTGTGCCCTCATTACTTTTGACAATAAAAGGCACGAAAACTGTCTCTAAAACCAACCTATCAAAACGGATAAAATCTGTCCCTAAAATCAGTAAACAATTAAAATAAACAAAATTAAGAGTATGGTGCAAATGTTGATACACTGTATTAAAGTAATATCTTAGTGTTTTATTTATTCGTGTCTATACAATTTGACAAATTTCTCAAAAAAAATTAATACCAAATAATGCTAAAAATGTTAAATCTGCCCGACACTATCCAGAAATCAAGTCTCAATAATATTTTCATATTATGTGTGGTGAATGAATGAATAGGGTTTATTATCAGCAACATAGGTCATAAATATAATAAAAAAAATCCGCTTATTATATATATATATACCAGTGATGTGCCGGATCGTTAAAAATGTATATCCGCGGATACGGATCCGAATACGGATATTTGGTGTCAAGATCCACGGATACGGATCTTTATATATATATATATACTATATGCTTCAAGTTCCTCTAATTTTCACTGTGTTTGCTCTTGTAATTTAATGTTTACACTTTATATGGTAGGTAGTACCTACTAGGTACGCAGTGTTAATTTACTTCATTAGAATATATTTTTGGTTTTCTCATCATCTCATAGTTATAAAAGTGATCTTATAACTTATATTTTTTTTATTATATTGATCTCATTTTAATTATAAAAAAGATTTAAATTTTGGTTTTCTCATTTTCTTATATATATAAAAGTGATGTTATAACTTTCTATAATATTGATCTCATTATAAAGATAGTTGACCTTTGAGTTATCTACTATTAGTATAGTAACTTACCTACTACGATAAATGTTTGCAATATAAAGGTGCCAAATATTTGATTTTAAGAAATAATAAATACTTGAATTGAATTTTATAGTTTTTTAAATCTACCTAATCACCTATATATAGCATTTCATCCTATCAATTGAAAATTAATAAGTTAAAAGATCCGTAAATTATCCGCGAGTAATGTAACGGATACGGATACGGATCTTTATTTTCCGTCGGATATCCGCGGATACGGATACGGATACGGATATCCGGAACATCACTAATATATACTTACGTATTCGTACAAAATAACATGACTTCCATATGACTTCTGTCTAGAATGATGTTTGTGCAAAGCTCAGACCAAATAAAAAGTGTAACGTGCAACTAAGTTTTCCTTTCGAAATTAAAAATTAAAAAAAAAAAAATAAGTATAAGCAGTTTAAAATCTTTTATTTATAATTAAATCATCTTAATAAAAATTTAGCAATCAACAAGAAACGTCCGTTCGAAATGAACAGCAAGGTTTAAACTTTAAATTTCAAAATCATAAAGACATACAGTTATATACTATCGCTACTTGCTTGTCGATCGACGGCAGACGTCGAGCCAGGTGTTATGTTAATTCGTGCGGTGGGTGTGTTTTTTGCTTCTTACAATAATATTATCAATAATAGACTGACTTCCTACTCAACCTACTCTAAATATCAGTTTTATTAATATATTACTTATTAAGTACCTAGAGTAGTCATGCTCTCTTAAAAATCTCTGCGGTGATGTCGTGTGCGTTAGGTCGTTACATTCCCTCAAATATAGCATTTAGAGTAGGTAGAATTGTATAGTTGAAATTAAAAAAAAAAGCCCTTGCCCTTGAGTTTCTTGCCGATTCTTGTCAGTAAGAGATCTCCCGCCTTAGTTTTGCGAACAAAGTTTTCGACTTTCACAAGTAATATGTAACAGCCTAGACTGAATTGATTTTGATATTTATATTAATATCATTCGTTTTGTGGATGCATAATGACACATACAAGTACAAGCTGAATTCTGCGCTCCGCTTTTTGTTCTTAATTCCAAATCTGAATTCGGATGAAAGTTACGAGCAACCAATAATAAGTTGGCTCATTAGTGATGACTCATCACTTAATGTTGACGTATAAACCAAACATCGTTCCTTTACACGTAACATAATAAACAACTTAAATTTACGATTAAAATAAATTAAAATTAATTTGAAAGTTAGATATTATAAGAAACACAAAACAATGTCATATTTATTAATTTTCGATACTCAATTTACTTTTATTACGTCAGAAACAAAATTTGAATGAATATCATAAACAAAATCCAAGGGTAAATAAACTAAACTTTATTATATTGTATTTTTTTATATATTTTTTTAAACACTTTCAAAATGAG